CTAAAATTATAAAGGGAAGTGATGGGCACACAGAACTGAAAAGTCAGAGGGATTTCAGGCTTCGGAGGCAGTTTCGGCACAACCCCGTCCTGCTCCTCCCAGTCTCTGGATCCAGCCCCCTCCCGTGATTAAGCTTCAAACTCAGGCTGACTTGATGATATAAATATTTAGAAGCTATGAAAGTCTTTCCCCAAATAGTACAGCGTCTAGAACACTGTTACAAACATCTATCTATGTAAATCAATAAAATGTGAAGAACTTGAGGTCAATGTACAAGTGATATTTAAGGTGTTAGCTCTTTTCTCAGAGCTCCTGGACTCAAATAGTCGACCTCATGCCTGTCTCAGGTGGTGAGGGGGCAGCCTAAGGATTCCAGAGGCTGGATCAGGAAGGGTCAGCACTCCATTTGAGGCACCACTGTTTTACCCAGAGAGCAACATGCAGCCTTTTAAGACTGTTAACTAGGTGAGAGGCATGATCAGGCTTGAATTTCAGGAGGCTCCCTCTGAACACAGCAGGGGAGACTGGGAAAAATACAAGCCCAGGGGTAAGGGCAGTAATTGATGAGCCCGAGCAAGGCCAAGGGCACCCATGCTTCCGGGAGTTTGGATTCGGATTTCAGACACTAACTCGCGTCTGTAGGTGGCCAGGACTGCTGCCCACGCCAACTCAGGAGAACAGTCAGGGTGATTCTGACTCATGTACAGAGCAGTTGGTTTGCAAGCAGGGGAGAGAACAAATCAGGAAGAACGAGATGGAGCTGAGAGCCCCCTCCCCCTGAGGCATGACGGGTCCAGGGCCACAGTCCTGTGACCAGCAGTTCCGCACGCACCCCATGCCTCCCTTCAGGTGCTCCGGATCTTTAAATGGCCCATGATGCTTTGCTTCTACTAGAGCAACGGGGCTTTGCTAACCGCAGCCAAAAAGGCTTGCCTAAGCATTTTAATTTCCATTTCATAGTAGGTGTTAACTAACATTGCTAAATGAATTAATGTAAGAATAAATGAATACATAAATTAAGTCAGTGGCTTCAGATGAATCTTGGCAATTTCATTAACAACATAAGGCTCTCTATTATTTCTTTCAGCTAATTACCCGCATCCATTTATTACCTTTTCACTCCCAATTCTACCCCCTCCTCCCTGGAAGGAGGCAGTTTGTCTTTCGCGCCCAAGTATGATTATCTTGCATGGATTTTCCCCAGAGAATCCTCAATCGATGTAG